TGTACAACCGGACGCGGGGGAGGGGCCGACGGTGGTCCATGGAGATGTGTCCGTGCGGACGGCGTTGGTCCACCTTTGTTGGGCATCGCGATTTCGAAAGACGGCGGCTTTCGAAAATGAAGGGGCCATTGGAAAAGGCGCGCAGCCCCTCCGGTCGAAATTTGAAATTCGGATTTTCGCGATGCGAGTGGCGGCGCATACAGGACGTTGTTTTTTGAATTTGACGGCAGCAGCGTCCAGCGTGCGGGGGCGTTTGCTTAAGTGACGGCATTGGTCGGCGATTTCAGTGTCGACGGGGTACGCACCTGTGCGCCTTCAAAGAAGCAGAGACGCCATCGACTTGTTGCCATTGTCGCAGGCCGACGTCCGTCGTCGTCGCGTGGCGTTCAGGGTTGTCAGGTGAGGCGGCGCTGTCTTCTTCCGCGTGGCGGTGTTCGTGGAGTGTTGTTTTGATATTGACGTCCATGTCTACTGAAGTGGCGTCGGGGATGGATATCTACGGCGAGGAGTCCTGTCCCCCGGATGACGTTTGGAAATGTTGGACTTTCTTGAACTGCTGCATGAGATTGTCCCACTTCTTCCCGCACTTGTCGGCTTCCCTGTCCACGCCCACGTTCTTCAACCTCTGAGCGACGTCTTGCCACTTCCATTCCCGCGGCTTCATCCGAGCGTACGCGTGGCCCATCCCCTCCATATGCGCATCTTGGTCACGTTTAGCCCTTATGAGGGCTATAATGTGCGCGACGGACCAGAAGTAACGCTTTTCCTCCACATCACCATCGCGGTTGCCATCGCTCCCCTTCCCCTGTGCCTTCTTCCCCTAAGGACAAGGATTGCTGCCGGAAGCCTTCGTCCTCCCGCCCCTACCTGCCATGTCCTTCTGCCTGAACGGCGAGACGTAACCACCCTCCCCCTCCCCGCCTTCTCCGTCGTTGTCGTTTTCGTCGTTATCGTCTCCTTCCGCATGTGCTGCATTCGTGTCCTCTTCCTGATCCGCCACACGAAGCCGCTCCACCCCCCGTCTGATGGATTCTTCTCGCCCCGCATGAAGATCCCGTCGCTGCTCCGCCCACACCTCCCTCCCGTCCTGGTCGTCACCAACGTCAAGGAAGGCGGTTTCAGTGTCGACGCTATCGTCGCGACGGCGGGCCACGCTGGACGCCGCAGACAGGGGAGACGGTGACTGCACCCACTGGGGCCGACCTGATGCGCCCCTGGAAAGAGACGGCGCCTGCGCTGCCTGCGTCGACGGTTTCGGGTTCGCACCCGTCGCCTCCCGCGCCAACGCTCTCGTCTTCGATGGCCAGTCCACAGCCGTCAATTGCCCACCGTCGTCGTCGGGGTGGGGGTTCACGAGGAGCGTGCATGATGGAGTTGACGACCGCCCGGTGGACAGACCGAAAGACAGGTTGACGCTGCCGTCTCCTTCATCGCCGGTTAACCCCGGACGAAGGAGGTCAGTGAACGACTGCTCGTTCAAGCCGCCGCCGGTCCCGCATAGCTCCGTAGCCGTCCACTCCTGCGTCGATTCGCTTCCCAACGACATGGTGCGTGTCCGTCCCTCCTCCTCCTCGTCTGACGTGTCGGGGAGGGGTTGCAAGTGCGGTGGCAATGCCGCATACCCAATCCTCTGGGACGCCCTCGAAATCGGCGATGGGCTTTCCCAGCCACTCCGACCCCCGACCTGCTCCCCTCTAGACCTGGGGATTGACTGCCGTGCCTTCGTCCTGGCGTCCTTCATCGAAGACCTTCTGCGTCGACGCCGCGGTATGTTCTTGAGGATACACACGTGGAAGACAATCAAGACGACCAGCAACAGGACAACCAGGACCAGCAGCGGCAGCCTGCGAAACATGTCGGCCATGAAACAGAAGACGACGACGGCAGCAGACAGAACACAACGGGGGGCGACAAGATAACAGCGAAGTGCAGCGCTGCAAACGGCCGTCAGGAACGCGTCAACAAACGGAAGCAAGCGACAGTGCGTGTCCGGGAGAGGTCGCGGCCTCTGAAATATTCGTATCTGCCGACCGCTGGCAGAATTCGCTGCGTGCCAAGCGCGACGACGGAAGATACCACCTTCTGGACGTCGGGGATGCCGGTAGGTCGCAAACGATAACCGTTGGCGTCGAATTCCGTGAAGGCGAATGTTGGCGACCCAACATGTCCGTGGAGACGCAGTCAGGACCACCGATGGACCAGACGGGATCGAAAAATGTCGTTGAGGGAGCTGCCGTCGACGCCCTGATTCTTCCGGATGCTCGACTTCCAAGGGACCTCGGGATGTCCCTTGGGGAAATTGCCAAAATGGCTGTAGCCCGAGGATTCCCCGAGGAATCCCCGAGGAAATGTTTTCACTTTTTTTTTTTCAAATCTTCCCTGAGGATGAGTGGAACGACGAATTCCTTGGGGAATTTCGGCGCCCGAGGAGTGTCGAACGAGCCCCTAAGAGCCTTTCTTTTCTTTTTTTTTTCAAGATTCTGTAACTCCCGTGTTTCCCTGAGGGCTGTAACTTGATCCTCACGTGTAGCCAAGATTCTGCATGATTTTTTTTTTCTCTTTTTTATGTTGCTTCTCTGGTCGGTCATTTCCGTTTTCAAAACGACCGACCACCGAGACATAGGCTTGGCTGGACCCAGCCAGACCTACCAATAGCTTCTATGAATTCAGGCCGTCAGAAAACTTTAGCAGGGATAGGTACTGGTGATTTAATGACATGTGGAACATTTCCCGGCATTGTTACTTACTGCGAGGATTTGACCTCTCGGCAGTGCTGGGAAAGGCCTTGCCCGCCCTAAGTGACGGTGGGCCTGCCAATATGTGCCAAGGCCTGGGTACAGGCCAGTGTGATCACCCTAAAGGGGTCATATATGTGGGGGAAATGAGCCCTTGCGGGCCCCTTAACAAACATGCACATGTTCTGGGCAGAGGCCCTAAGCAAGCCCTGTGCCCGCCCTAAGTGCAGGCGGGCCTGAATATTCACAAGAGGCCAAAATTTGACATTTTTTCATATGTGGGTATCACACAATGGCAGCATACCAGTTGGTTACAGAGCAACGTGAGCCTCTCTAGGCTCTTTCTGGAAGTTGCAGCCTCAACGGGCAGTTGAGCCAGGGCCCCGTACAGTTAAGGCCCTGGGCGTGTGCTTTCAGAGGCGGACACATCATACAACAGCCACGGACCAATGAGATTGCAGCGTTGTCGGCACATACTGGCCGTGAGCCAATGAGATCACAGCAAGCAAACATGTGGAGGCCCGTGGACTGCCTGGATGTGCCCAACTGTAAAGGGCCCAGGCCCAGAACTGCAACTGGGCCTGGGCGCAGGCACTGAGGCCCGGAAGCTACTGGATGCTCGCCCAGCCAGGACCAGAGGCAGCAGAGGCTAAGCTCACTTTCCATATAGGAAAGTGAGCATTGCTGGGCAGGGCATTCTGGCCTAGGCACGCAATGCGGCCACGCTGCTGCATTACAACTTCGTGTTTTGCACGAAGATGCCGGCTGGGTCTCGCGCACGGGCGCTGGGGTGTGAGGTGCACTGCTGGGCAGTGGGCGCACGGCAGCCATAGCCGGGCTGCTGGGCGCAGGTGTGGATGGCGATGGTGGTCTTTGGGTGTTGAGAATGCACACTGTGGGAAGTCAGGTGTGATGAGGAGAGATGAGATACATACCTGGTGCATGAGGGAGGTCAGCTATGGTGTTGACGTCATGTACATTGGTCTTCAAAGTCGAAGTGAGCCTGTTGCGTGAACGCTGGTGTAGTAGGATAGGCGAGTAGCGTAGGCTGGGCGCTGGGCACCAGACAGAGTAGGAGCGACATTGGATACGGTGTTGGTGTGGCCTGAGGGCTTGGACATTGGCTCGTGGGTTCATTGTATTGCTCTTATCTGGATGGAATCTCGGTGCATTTGCACTCTCTGCGCGTACATGACTACTTGGACATCTGTGTGATTTCGCAACTTGGTTTTCTGTATATCGCTCTTGCTCATATTCCTTGCACTTACTGAACCGGGGGTGTTTTTTTTTTTTTTTTGCCGAATTTTGCACTGAAACTGTCATATTGCCTTGTTTTTTTGTTTTTTTTTCTTTGTTTTTTTTCTTTGTGTGATGTGTAGGTGCTTGAGAGAATGTCATGTGTCCAGTTTTTACATGTTCGGATCATTACTAAAGAAGTTGGCATTTCGATGGATTTGTTGAACGCTTCATTTTAACTTGGAGAGTGTTTTGTGTTAGGGTTTTATAGTGTTTTTGTCCAGGCTACCAGCTGCGCCGCCCGGGTCACCCTATTTTCCCGGGCGGCCCTGCCGTGCAAGGACCATGGANAAACTATGTTATGCAGAAAAATAAACTGAACAACTTTTGCCTCAGGGTCACATCGAAATTCTTTACCAAATTTAAAATAAAAATCTAAATTAAAACATAATTTTAATTTTTGAATTTCTTTTTGGCCCAGCCGGGCAAGTGGACCCGGGCCACTCTGGTAGCCTAGGTTTTTGTGTTCTATTTTCCGTTTTCTTTGGGCTGTTTGTGTTTTTGATGTTTGCACTCTGGGCCCATATAGCTGCGTAGCACGGCGAACGTGTTCGCGTGTTCGCACGAACGGCTCGCGAACGGGCGAACATGTTTTTTTTTCGTATAAAATAAAATTAATTTTCTTTTTTTTCGGTTTTTGATTTTTAACTCATGTTTGGCTACGAATTTGAACATGACTCCAAGGAAAAAGTTGCTTGTATTGTGGTTTTACATGGCATATATTTTTTAAAGATTTTTCTGAGATTTGTCTTTTTTTTTTTTTTTTTTTAATGTTCGCGTTCAGAGGGTTTTGGGTGCTTGTTTGTGTTCGGGCGAACATGCTCGTGTTCGCCTCCAGATGCTAACACGATGCTACGCAGCCATATAGTTTGTATTTTATTTTTTGCTGAATTTTGCACCGAAACTGTTGGTGAAAACAGCAAATTTTTGGCCCTCCGTTAACCGCGTGTCTCTTTTCATTTTGAGCAGGCAAAGCAAGGGAAGCAGATTGTTGAGCAGGCAAAGCAAGGGAAGCAGGCTGTTGAGCAGGCTAATCAAGGGAAGCAGATTGTTGAGCAGGTAACAAAAGGGAAGCAGGCTGTTGAGCAGGCTAATCAAGGGAAGCAGATTGTTGAGCAGGCAAAGCAAGGGAAGCAGGCTGTTGAGCAGGCTAATCAAGGGAAGCAGAGTGTTGAGGAGGAGGCCAAGCAAGGGAAGCAGATTGTTGAGGATGCTAAGCAAGGAAAGCAAATTGTAGTGCTCTCATCCTCTTCTGACTCGTCAGGCGCACTTGAAATAGGTGGCGTTGGTGACACCAGCTTGTGGCACGATGATGATGTTCATGATGGGCGGTGCGAAGTCTCTGGGGGATACAATGGTGGCGACGGAGATCCAGGTCCGAGCATGCGCAGGTATAGACATGAGGCCGCCGAAGGTGAACAAAAGAAAACAATTGGTTGCGAGGAGGAAAAAGACTTCCTAGGAGCACTTGTTGTTAGCGCGGAGCCCAATAGGGAGGAGGAGGAGGAGGAGGAGGAGGAGGAGGAGGAGGAGGTGGCGGCGAGAGAGTGCAGGGATGAAAGGACACCTGGCAGTACCAATGACCAAACAGCAGAAGTGACAGCCATTCGTGCTCCAGACACAAGTATGGAGAATGGGTGTCAGTCAGCTGGCGGAGGCTACGCCTTGAGGAAGCAAACTGGACAAGGGGCCAAAGACACGAAACTGCCTTCGCTCGATGGAAATGTGGACAAAGCTGTCGATGATGTCAACAACCTCACAATGAGGAGAGTACGCAGTGCACGCTCTGCTGGTGGCCAAGCATTGAAGGCCAAAAAGAGGACAAAGCGGCTGAAGTCAAAAGTATTTGATGTGCGATCATTTCCAACATATGCGGGATGCTCCCCTTGAACAGCCCCCCCCCCCGTTTGCAAACTCCCCTTCCCCTTGAAACCCCATGCTCGCAACCCCCTCCCCTTGCCCCTCCCCTTAAAAAAACTTCAGCTGCATTGCTAGCACATGAGTTGTTCAGTGCCTCAGATGGATAGGAAGTTAGGAACTCCTTGCAACCGACCCAACCCCCCTCTTGCTCCTTCCTTAGAAACGACTCCTGCTGCAAAGAGCTAGCAAATGAGTTCTTTCCACTTCTTTGTTGTTTCAGATGAGAAATTACCAGCTTTGCAAAAAGGCACAACTTTCCTATTATGGTGAATAGACTGGCGCCATGCGGAATCCTTGCAAGGCTACTGCCAGCACGATGAGTGTCCTGTTTTGAAGTTCTGACGAACTCCTGAGTAAATTTGAGGACCGTGAATCTTGTCGTGCTAGGCCTACGGGCAGCCCTGGAATTCACGATGGTTAGCTTCAGTGGGACATCTTGAAAATTGGAATTGAATAAAGTGTGCTTCCCCCAGAAACGGAAGGAACACAAAGAAAAGACGACTTTGCAGTACAACTTAGCAATGAAGAATGTTTTGTAACTTGGATGGAGTGAGAACGCAAGCCGGGAATAGATGGCCTCTACGAGATTGATTGGTTAATAATACTTAGTATGGTTATATTGACTTATAAGTTATATGTAATAACTGGAGCTCACAACCACTTCAGTAAGGGAGAAGATGGCTTGCCACAAGCATCTTTATGCTACCAGAGAAATTTGAATCCACGGTTGGTGCAGTTCGCCAGGTGCTTCCCTGCCTGCCTACCTCCCTGCCTATTACAACCCTTGAGACCTTCAAGCCTGAAACTCACCCCCCCCCCCCCACAAAAAAAATAAAAAATAAAAAAAATTGTTATCTGTATTGAGAGGTCAAGACTCAAAAGTGACCAAATGCCAAATAATCCCTGTCCTGCCAGAAGTATCCAGGTGCGCGGGCTCGTTCACCTTCTTGCCTGGCCTGACCCAAATATGCCTGCCGCTCTCAGACAATATAAGGGAAACACCTCCAGCTGTTTTGCTGCACGGTCAGTTGACTCATATGAAATCCTGTGTGAGTTTGGAAAATTGAGACCTACATGTTCTGCTACTCTCTCTCTCTCTCTCTCTCTCTCTCTCTCTCTCTCTCTCTCTCTCTCTCTCTCTCTCTCTCTCTCTGTGTGTGTGTGTGTGTGTGTGTGTGTGTGTGTCTCTCTCTCTCTCTCTAGTGTCTTTCTCTCTCAAACGCATGCACAAACAGTGCAATTGTTCTTGCACACCACAGTGTAATTTTCTGTGCTGCGCAGTGCCAAGCAGCAAGATTTTTTTGTGCTGAGCCATGCCGCATTTTGCGTGGGCTGCTTCCTGAACTGGGAACCGCACCAGTTCGCTTCACTCTCGAGGTCCACTCTCCCACTTTCCGCCGCGGGTCTGCCACGGGGCATTATACATGGTGCACAGGTCCTTTATTCTAAGTTTATAGTATGTAGTATGTAGTGGATAACTTCCATTTTTAAGGCACCCCATACACGTGAACATGTGATCCAGTGGGAGGCATGCTGCTCATGTTGCACAAGCCAACAGGAATGCGGGTGGGAGACTGATAGGAAGGAGGATGGAAGGGGATGAGGGCAGGGGAGAAGGAGAGAATGAAGGATGCAATGAGAATGAAACGAGGGAGGGACAAGGGAGAGTGTGAGAGAAGAATGCAGATGCCATCTTTTGAAAGGGCATGGAGACCGAATGGACAGGAAGGGAGAAGCGTACAGGGAATGGACAGGGAATGGACAGGGAATGAAGAAGGATTGGGCAGGGAATGGCTGTGGGAGTAAGGTGCAAGGCACAGAAATAGAGGAAGAGGGTAGGGTGGTAGGAGGGATGCAAACAAGGAATGGACAGGGAATGAAGAAGGATTGGGCATGGAATGGCAGTGGGAGTAAGGTGCAAGGCACAGAAATAGAGGAAGAGGGTAGGGTGGTAGGAGGGATGCACAGAAAAGGAGACAAAAGGAGGGAAGAAAAGGAAGGAATGAGGGAAATAAGGGGGAGAAGGGCCAGAAGAGGCAGAAGGAGAAGAGGTGAAGGAAGGAGAAGCAGGAGGGGGAGGGGGAGGAGGAGGGGGAGGAGGAGGGGGAAGGAGGGAGGACAAGAGACAGGGAGGGAGAACGAGGGAGGAGGAACAAGAAGTAAGAAAAATGAAAAAGACGAGAAGGGAATAAAGGTCGTACTCCAGGACTTCTGTTAAAATTGGAACAATGCAGAGAAGATTAGTATAGCCTCTGCATGAGGATGACTCACACAATCACGAAACAAGCCTAAATTCAGAAAAAAAAAGAGGAACGAAGGAGTGGATTTCACAGTTGGTGGCGTGATTCGTCTGGTTATGTCAGTTAACAAACGAGACCTCACCCTGCTAAGTAGCTATGAGGAGACCTTTCCTTATCGCTATCTTTTCAGAGGGACTGTCGAACGACTAGCCAACCAAAAAATCGCAAAATAGACAAGGGAGAGCAGAGATAATTTTTAAAGAGCAAAGAGCAGAAGAATGAAGGACAGGAGGAAAGGAAACCGGAAAGGAAGGTAAGAGGGTTGCAGCGGTAGGTTGGACAGAGTTCCTGTTGTTCTAGAGAGCAACAGCTCGGCTCCCATTCCCCTGTTAGACTGAATAATCAGTATTCATCGCATAGCAGGGTTGCATACCTGCTGACTGCCTACCCCGACCGCCGACCGTTTTGCAGCCTACCGGCAGGGCCGACCGGTCGGCGGTCTGCCGACCAGTCAGTAAACAGCCATCCACCGATTTAAAAAAAAATCTGACTATGGGGCTGTACTGCACTTGCTGAGTACAGCCCAAATCCGCTGAGAAACTTTTGGGAATGGGGGAGGTACGGGGGGGTATAGGGGGGGGGTTGGGGTGTATAGGGGTGGTATAGAGGGGATTTTGTGTGGGGGGAGGGGGGGGGAGGAAGGAGGAGGGTGTCAGGGACCGGTTTAGGGGTGTTGTGGAGGTGTTGGGGGAGGGTATGGGGTGTTGCGGGAGGGTATGGGTGTGTTGGTAGGGTTATTGGGGGTTACGGGGTGCCGCCAACTGCTGACCGGTAGGTGCCGACCAGCCGACCGGTCGGCTGCTCGGCATCCAACCAATGGATCTGCCCTTGTTAAACACCTCCACAAGCTTTTATACCTCTTGATTCTCACTCTCTTTTTCCAACTCCCAAAGCAAACAGATCAAACCCACAGTGAGCTGTCGTCGACAAGAAGCTCATGCTTCTCCACACTATGCGTGAGAGGACAACCGCCCTTGCAAACCACCTCCACAAGCTTTAAATCTCTTGATTCTCTTCTCTATCTCACACTCTTCTCCCAAAACCAACAGACAAAACCCAATCTGAACCATCTTCCTCATATGTAACTGTATGTGTAAGAAGGGCGGCGTATCGAAGTTCATGTATACTGCAGAATGGCAAATATTCGACTCTCACTAATGATTGCTAGGACCTTGGGTGATGCGGGGGATCTTGTCTCATATTGACTTGTATATAGATTCTCTAAAATCCCATGCCGTATGCAAAGAATCCACTCCAAACCCATGTATGTCCATGCCGTATGCACGCATGAACATGTTGGGACGTGTGCGTGCATGCATACTTCAAAGTTTGTGACCATATCTTTTGATTTGATATACCCCAGGATTAGCATTTTCATATCCATTTTTTTAATTTTTTTCATAGTTTTTATATTCTTTTCGTCGAGTTCCGTGATGTGGTCCTGCTTGATGATCTCGTTATCTGATGTGATATAATGTACAAGTATTTTCCTCTTGGGGGAAAAGGGTACAGATGTTCCTCTCTGTGACTTCAATCAAGTTCAATGCTTCAAACTGTTCACCAAGTGGTTGAATCATTTCTCCAATTCTCACGCATAACCTGATTTTGTCGTTTCACACCCGATGATGCTGAGCATGACTTCCGTTGCGTCTGATGGTTGGTGCAAATATGTATGCATGTGTCCCATGAAGCATGTTTGCACTGCCCCATCTTCCCCTTTGCGAACCCCCCTCTTGCCCCCCGCCACCCCCTACCCCCCCACCTTCTTGCATCTCCGCCCCCTTGAAAGGTACACATGGTCCATGCAGGAGATACTATTATGGACCTGGGCTTGCAAGGCAGTTCTGGAAATTGCAAACGTCTTGCGAGCAAAAGAGATTTTCATATCCAACTTCTGTCTTTGATTGCAGGAAAGGACATCAAAGGAGAAGAAAGAATTGCTTCTTGCAGTGTTAAAGGGATCGAGGGGAGAAATGAGTAAACATGGCCAGAAGCAACATGCAAAGAAAAAGGTAGGAGAGAGCATGTTTGCTGCATTATTTTATATTGGCTGTGTATGTATGCAAGGAAACTGGACTGGAGAAAAGCAGACTACGAGCACAATGAATTCTCTTGACCGGGGGGGAAAAAAAAGGGAAAAAAAAAAAAACAGAACTCTTGACTAGCATGCATATGGTGATAAGCGTGATGGAGCCTGAGTGAAAAAGGATTTCACGCCGCAAACACCGAAAGTCCCGGTTTCAGGGTCCCGAATTGTCCCTGTTCCATTTGGTCCCAGTCCCAACCAGGCCCGGTAGGTAGAGTCCCAGGGAAGGGTTCGAAGGGTCCAGGGTCTGTCAAAGTCGAAACATCGTAGGTTAGGTTGGACCGGTAGCAAAATAGGCCGATTATTACAAGTCCATCCGGTACCGACAACAAAAGTCCAAGTTCCCAAAGTCCAATTTTGCAGCAACGACCCAGGAAAGTCCGGAAGCTACTGGAGCAACAATTCAAGGAGCAGGACAGGCCGCGGGTGACCGGTACCGGTTGGAAGCAGGCAAGTCCAGTCCAAGTCTTTATTTATAGCTGCTACAGTGCAGCGACGGGGGCATTTGGTGTTGCTCTAGTTGCCGAAGCTCTGCAAGTTGCTTGTGCGATCACACGACCTGCACAAGCGCCTGGAGGAAGGAAGAAGGCGCATGGAGTGCTACAATACCTAGGGTTAGATGCTAGGGTTGGTGGCCATAACCGCCGGAGGAAGAAGGCACTGCAAAGCGAGTGTATCCAGGGTTGATCTTCAGGATAGATAACGGGAGAGATGAGTGGTACAAGATCGAGAGAGAGGGAGAGGGAGAGTAACGAGTGATGCACGCGAAGAGAGAAGAGTTCTGCACAGACACACACACACGCACAGACAGAGAGAGAGAGAGAGAGAGAGAAGGGGGGGGGGGGGGGGGGGGGGGGGGGGGGGGGGGGGGGGGGCGGGGGGGGGAAGTCGGGTACCTACCTGTCGATGCTCAGGTTGATGTTAGGTAGAGGCCGATGGTTATCGAACTCTCGGATGTAATATAATTGATAATTCTCAAGCTTTTCTCATCGAATGATCTCTCTCTTCTGTGGTGTGAATCTTTCTGCGAACTTTCATGTGTGAATCTTCCATCTGTTGAGGGTTGTTTGGCATGCGGTTCATTGCATGATGAAGCAAATGATATCCAGGAGTGGGGTGCGCAGATTGGATTAAAAAGAAAAAAAAAAAAAGATTGGAACTAACCCGTTTATGGGAGGAAGGCGACCAAAAATCTGTCAACCTACAATACTATTTTTATTTTTTATTATTTATTATTTATTTTTCATTTTCTTAATAGATCATCGTTGTCCTAAAGCGGGAAAAAAAACATTGGTGTGAATGGCCGTGCGTCGTGCGACTGGTTGATCACATGGCACGGGCATGGCCACAACGGTTGGGTGTAGCCCGCTCTAAGTGTTTTTTTTTTGTGTGTTCTAATGCGAGCTCGGTAAGCAAAAGTCAGCTTTCTGTTATGTTTGCATGAAGTGTGGGGAAATATTGAAAATGTGATAGGGTGGGAGTCCTATTTTTTTCCCCTTCTTAAATGCCTCGAAAGAAAAGAAAAAGGCACGTGTTTTTTGTTGTGTGTGCTGCCTGCATCCCCCGAAAACAGAAAAGAAAGAAATGAGTGTGCTTTGGTTTGTGTGGCTTTTTCGTTCGACTTTCGTGCAAGTGGCACACTTCCACTGATGTGTTTTTGACCGAAGTCTTGTCCTTCTCTCTGTAAAATGCATTAAGGAATGACTCGGTGTGATTGTGCTGACTCCGTGTGATTGTGCCATTGCTCTCTCTCTCTCTCTCATATATATATATATAGAACATAATCTTGCCCTCATTGTTGTAACGTACAGCTAGGGAGGTCTCAGCATGATTAGGCCGTTGTTCTCTTTCTGTGTCTCCCCGCCCGACTCACCCCCCTCCCTCTCAACCTCCCTGATGGACCAACGGACAAATAAACAAACAGACAAAGACATAGTACGGCAAGATGAGAGAGAAAGTATGATAAGTGAAGAGAAGAGAAGACCAATGGAGAGAAGATAAGAGAGGCTCAAATAAGATGAGAAAGATAAATGTCGTATCAGATGAAATCGAGTCATCAGATTGGATCGAGAGAGGTGAGGGAGGGTAAAATAGGGTGACGAAAGGTAACGTTGGGTAGAATAGTTCAGGCACAGCAGGTAAGGAAAGGAAGTGTAAGGCAACATATAATAAGATAAAATGAGATATTTAATCTAAGATATATAATATGGGATAATGTTACAACAAGATGAGATAAGATAAGATAAGATAAGATAAGAGATAAGATAAGATAAGATAAGATAAGATAAGATAAGATAAGATAAGATAAGATAAGATAAGATAAGATAAGAGATAAGATAAGATAAGATAAGATAAGATGAGGTGAGAGATGAGAGGAGATGAGATGACACAAGATGATAAGATACGAGTAGATACTATGACAGTACATAAGATGTAAGATAGCATAGAATGGGATTAAATGAGATAAGATAAGATAAGAGAAAAGGCAAGAGAAGGTAAAATATATATAAGATAAAGATAGGATAAGATGAGATGACATGAAACATCACTGGATAATTGGACAATTTCTCCAGCTTGAAGATTAGGTGAGATGATTGAAGACAAGATAGGTAAGGTAAGGAAAGGTAAGGAAAAAAAAGAAGGTGAGATAATGTATTATTATGACTATTTTAAGATAGAAAAATATAACGTAAGATAAGATAAGTAGACATAAGTCAACGTAAGGTAAGATCTATGAGCTATGAGAGAGTAGATACGGTGAACAAACATCACGCCTTCTACTCCACATTGTTCGAACGGCAGCTCTTTCTTCTTTAGGTAAATAGAAAGTATTATAAACATTCCAAAGGTAGTTCTTGTTCGCAGCTCACAAATGTTCTTTCTCTTTCGAAAGCTGGTCGGAGTTCACCACGGTGATTTGGCAGAAAGAGAAGAAACATGAGACACATTTGACTGTTTTGCAACATTTCTATGCTTCTCTTGCTGCCGATCTCTTGCCGATCATTGCAGTCCTAATTGCTTCTCAAAGCAAATAAACACAAAAGAGCACAAACGGACGGGTCAAATCAGAGGGCACCGGGGCGCACTTATCTTCTCAATGGCATAACAATGGCATTAAAGGGGACCAGTACATGCAAGTCATCAGCCGCGGGGCTTCTTTTGGAGGCCGCCCGCTGTCGTTGTATTTTATCAACGGTGGTGCACGAGCCTCGGAAATTTTATTTTATCAGCGGTGTGCGCGCCTCGAAAATTTTATGAGAGGCTCAATAGGCTTGTCAACTTGGGTGGGGCCATGTGCTAGCGGTTTAAAACTTTAAGTCGATGTCTGATAGAATTTGTTGGATTGCTGTTGCTGGGTTTGTGCCAACTTTGTGGTGTTGCTTGGTTGGTTTAATCAATCTCTCAGAGTAATACCTCTGCACATTCGCCTGTTGGGCATGGGAAGGTCATAAACAAAGAGTGGATATATCTTGCAGTAAAGGACGATTCCTCCAGCAATGGCTTCATATGGGAGCAGAAAACCAACTGCAGTGATCCAGCGCCGGACGACCCAGAGTACAGACGGTTCTCGCAAGCCAGATTGGACATGGTAGAAGAGCTGGTGTGGCCATTGGATGGGTGGATGGTACGCGTTAGACAGAGACAAGATACAAAGCAGTACGATGCATACATCGAGCATAACAAATTTCAGATGCGGTCGGCGAAAGAGGTATTGGTTTTGCACTTGATGAGTCCGGTCCACATCTGTTTCCATGTTGCGGTCTGTCTATACTATGATGCACACATCAAGCATAACAGATTTCAGATGGGCTCGGCGAAAGAGGTTTCGCTTGTGCACAACAAGTCTGCCTGACGTGGCGATGCCACGGCCTAATAGAGGGGATGAGAGAACATGACTGACAGGTGGGCTGGGTGGCGCCATGTGGGGTGTTCGGCAGCACAGTTCACTGTGGGGTACATGACTGATGAGATCTGGGCTGCCCCCTCCCCCCCTCTTTCAAAAAAAAAAAACACAAACGAGAAAGCCCTGCCCTATTGTTCTAGACACGAACCATGTGGATATCGGGCCTCGCTCCACTGCTCAACATTCCAGGCTCCCATGTGCTTGTATTCGAACACGCCGGTAGGAGGCCCCACTCAACATTCCAGGCTGCGGCAAACAAAAACGCCCCAGATGTACTTACAGCTTCCAAAGACGGAGACTGACACCAAGCAGAACACGGTCATAGTATGCTACGTGGCCTGAGTTCTATCCTTGGGGGCTGCAGACGTTGCCACGACCACGGAAACCAAACGGGAAGGCCCAGGCCTCTCTCCGCTGCTCACCACGTGCACAAGAACCAAAGAGTATGGCCGGCCATGCATCTTGCGATGTTCAAGAAGAAGATTTATTCTCATTTTACACATTTGGTGAGTAGTCTAGTGAGGCCCAAAAGGACCCAGAAAGATGCCAGGCCGTGCCAGGTATCAGCGCGTCGCTCCACTACTCACCAGATGCACAAAAGACAAAAAATATGGCGGTGTATCTTCCCATGTTCTAGCAAAGATTCGTTGTCATTTTGTACTCGGTGAGTAGTGGAGCCAGGACATTTGGTGAGTGACGGAGCCAGGCCCTCTGCATTCCAACTTCGAGACTTTGAATGATTCGAAGGCTCGCTCAACTACTCATCACATGCACAAAAGACAAAAAATATGGTGGTGTATACTTCCATGCTTTAGCAGACGCTTCATTCCCATTTTGCACATTTGGTGAGTACTGGAGCGAGGCCCGAAGCCCACAAAAAGTGACCGGGAAATGACCATGCGGCCTGACAACCGTCTTTCTTTCGGTCCTTTTCCACTCGCTTTGCTATGTACTTGCATTAGAATGTCGTCCGACCCGTAACTTCAAGATTCGCGATCACATTTTTGCATAGCTGCGCACAGGGAAAAAAAAACGATGTGCCCATGAACACGGATGCGAGCAGCAACGGTCCCACGAGGTCGTGGTTTCTGCTGGGCCCAGATGAGGGCATCAGCCGAGGCCCACTGATCGATTATAAGGTATCTACTATATAGTATATAGATATAGATGATGAGTCCACTCGGTCTGTTCACATGTTGGGGTCTGTCTGTCCTCGTGATTTTCATTTCTTCTCAAGGTGTGCTGCAGGTCCACTTACCCCCTTCTTGGGCATTCTACCATTTCTTGATTTGTGCATACTGTCCTCCTTCAGGGGCTTTTCCAACCTCTTCTGCACAGTCCCAAATTGTCCCAATGTCAATGGATGACTGAAGACATGCTCCAGGCTTGTTGGTTCTCTTTGGAACTGGTGATTTCTTTCTGAACTCACGAACAAGATAGCTACAGTAATATTTTATTATTACTATTATTATTTTCTTTTTCTTTTTTCTTTTCTTTTTCTTTAGGAAAGCCCAGGTTGTTGTAGAGGTGGGATACCAGACAGATGGAAGTCACCCACAGCACTTGGCCACTCGGTTGAACCCCTCTGAAGACCCCACCCACCCTCCCTCTCATCATTTTGCCCTGGCGCACCCCCACCCCCCCTGCCCTACCCTAGTGTTAACCACCCAGGACCATCACCCATCACCATCTTGGCGGGGTAACCTGACCAGACAGCGGTTGCAGGCACCCGGGCTAAGCAGAGACCCCTACCCACTGCTCAGCCCCGGTTGAAGTAGACGCCGTGCAAGCCCGATTGCACGGGGACTTTGGGATCTAGGTACGAACAGGCTACTACAGGTCTTCATGAGGGTGCGCAGTGACTCCCGTCCAGCACACTTGTGTGGTGATCATAGAGAGCTGGGAATCCTCCGTTCTCTCGTGTGTCCCTGGAGCCCGTTCCGGCCCTGCGGTAAGGTGCAGTATCTCCTGACACCCCCGACATCCCGTACGAAGGAACTGCTATGCCAGCCTCAACCCTATACTACGTACTAGTATGATAGCCAAACCCTGAGTCGTGAATCATGGACTCTATCTATTGACCCTGGAGAATCTATTAACCCTGTGTTGTATGATAATCTGTGAGAGATGACAATCCTCCGTTCCCTCGTATGTCCCTGGAGCCCGTTCCAGCCCCGCGGTAAAGTGCAGTATCTCCTGACACCCTCGACATCCCGTACTAAGGAACTGCTATGACAGCCTCAACCCTTGACTACGTACTAGGAGGATGACCAGCCCTAAGTCATAATCTGGTATCGAACACAGGACCTCATGCGAATCGTGCAAATGACGTAACCTATTGACATATTTGTTCCCTCCTTGTCCTTCTGCTGTACTGGCTCTGATGTGATTCTCTTTTTTTTTTTTNTTTTTTTTTTTTTTTTTTTTTTTTTAATAACGCCCAGGTTGGTCGGAGTCAGACTTCCGAAGATCCCCCGGACTCAGGTATATTGGAGTTCGAATGGCCCTCTTAGCCTCCAGGACCACCTATACAGAGTACCTTTTTAGACTATTTTACGAGTACCTTTTTAGACTATCCTAAGTCCTATCGCAAGTAGTGCCCCTCCAGCGCCTACCAGTTACGAGCAGGGACTGGAGCCAGTCCCCACCGATTGCAGTCTCCTAACTGCACCCACTCTTAGGCAGTTTTGTCCCCCAACCCGGCTTAGTAGAACCCTAGCCGATCCCCCACCGAATGGGTGTGAATGACCAGTCGCCCTCCTGGTAGTATACACTACTAAAACCCCAAGCTATCCCACCCTCTAGACGGGAAACTGGACCTCGAACTCCCCAGTCAAGCCGTACATCATTGGCATCCCCTTCTACTAGTCCATAGACTCCATACCAACCCTCTAGCAATCTCATAGGCCCCCCCAACTGCTCCCTCTGATGTGAATATTGAATTCTCGACTTTTGCATTTGTAGTAAATTACTAGTAATTTTGTACACGTACTGCACGAGTAAAATATGAAAAGAAAAAGAAAAAAACGTTTTTCCACGGGACTGTGAATAATGTGATTCCGCTCATGATTCTTATTCCTGTTTTTCTTTCTGACTCTGGTTCCATCTCTTGTGCCAGGTCTAGTTCTTCTCAGATTGCAGGTCTGCTTTTGCCTCCGATTCCAGTCCAGGTTCTGGATTGCAGGTCTGTTTTCACCTGGGATTCCACTCCAGGCTGGGTTCTCTTTCGCACAGTAGCAGCAATTCTGACTGACTCCCAAGGATGTGATGGGGGTGGGGATGGAAAGGAGTTGCTGCAAAAGAAGTTAAAGAACCCATAACATTTTTATAGAGATTGTGCACGCGGAAAGGCGGCGCAAGCTGTCTGCTTCAGTCTCTCAGCAGTTTAACAACTCTCTTGGCTCCCCCGAATACAACATACGGTCATTATAGCTGTATTTGAGGCGTCTTTCAGTCTAGATACAACTATAATGACCGTACGTTGTATTCAGGGGGGAAGAAGGAGTAGTTCAGTTGGTTGAGCACGTAAGTGGTACACAGGAGGTCGTGGGTTTGATTCCCCACGTCATCCACTTGGGTTCCCCAGGACCCCCTGTGGCATGCTTGGGGTTCACCGGCTGAGAAAGTCAGCTTGTCCCTCCTGGTTAGCTGTGGAAGTTGCACTGTGACTTTCCAGCACGCTCCAGGTGTTCGGAGCTTGGGTTGGGTGCTGCTCCCTGCACAGAGCAGAGTTAGGTAGGTAGGTGTGGACCCATAACCACAGGGTAGCTTAGCTTCGGTTAGTGGATTTAGTTAAGGGGTAGTTCTTGGCTGGTAGACGTGCATAAATAGGTTCCATCCTTTGACCCTCTGCGCCTTGAACCCTAGTTTTAGACCCTAGATTCCCTTGGTGTGGGGACAGGTCCTTGCTTGTCCAGGCAGGTAGTGCGAGGTACAGTACTGAGAGAGAAGGATGATAGTATAATTAAAAAAAAATTGTGGCCGTCCGGGCCCGTCCCCCATATGAGGACAAGACAAGCCTGCATTTCTATTGTATATAAAGAAAAAGGGAGGAAGTTTCGTGTTACTGTAGCACCTGAATCGTTTGAAACGACAAGGATGGTGTTCCCTCTCAGGATGTACGTGGACGGGCGCAGCTTCCAATGCAGATCATGCACCTGGTCACCCACATGTGCAAATGCACAGACATGGGCATTCTGGCCACCGCAAGCATTTGCGACTCGTGTACCTAGGTTTCGATCCAAGCTATGGTGTACTAATGCTCATTTCGCTAATGTACACACCTCTTTGCAGGGATCTGCACAGAGGTCTTGAACTCCGGACCTGGTATGGTCTGATCCACTGGCATCTGATCCACCTTGGACTGAAGTTTGGACCTGGTGCGGTTTTTGATCCAGCAGTGGGCATATGATCCACAGCTGATTGAACTTCAACTTTTATTTTAGACCCATTCATCGAAAACGTTTTTGGTTACTTTCGGCGTAATTTTTACTTTTAGGCTGTGGATCGGATGTGGAAATGACAAGACTCGCAAGAGGGTAATCCCACTCAGGGTGTACTCACACTAGCACTATCTTATGTGCATCTGACTGCATTCAGGGCCAGACGTGGACGCATCTGGCGACAATTACGTCCAGAAACAAGTAAAAACGTCCTAGTGCGAGTATGCCCTCACATACCCATACATTGGTTTGTGAGCATAGTGCAGAAACACAAGAAAGAAAGAACCGTACACCGACTCGTCTTCACACTGCAACAAAAGTCAATTGAATAATCGTCAGTCAAAGTACATTTGAAGCACGACGTTGGCCACACGCCTCCTCGCCTCCGGGCATAGTTCCCACATGCTTCTGCCGGCGCCGATCCTGATGTCAACCTGTGGAAGCACCTTATGTAACTATTAGACAAAAAATGAAAAACAATTAAAAAAATTGAATCAGTTTTTTTTCTGCCGGGTTCTCTCACCATTAGCAGGGCTTCATATAGCCATGCTCCTGTTTTTTTTTTTTTTTTTGTTCCCTTCTTTTCTTTTCTCCTCTTTTCATTTCATTCCTTTCGGAAGCTTTTCAATTTCGAAAGGGCGATGGCCTTGAGATGTCACCATGGTCCATTCAACTGACCGGCCCCTTGTTATTCAGCTGAATTTCAGAATTACTTGAGTACATCTGGATTCAAACTTGGGTTAAATGTTAAAAGGGAAAAAATAGGATTTTTTTTTAATAAAAAAAAATAAGACAAAAATTCATATCTATTGAGGTTGGCCTGCACTGAACCAAGGTTAAGACCAGATCCAGTCGGGTCTGGCGCCCAGGATCGGTCATAGTCATGCTTCTTTTTTTGCTCCCCTCTTGATCTGATTAGCAACCCAAGAGTGCTCATAGTCTTTTTTTTTTCTATCTATTTTTCTTTTTCCCTCACCACTGATCATCAGTTAGACCTAATTCCCGTTTCCCAAGTTGTTTTTTCTTCCATCAATTATTTTCTCTTTCAGCTTATTGGAGTTTTTTTTTCCTCCCTCCGTCAATTATTTTCTCTTTCAGATTACTGCGACTTTTCCGTATGAAATTACTTCAATTTCAACACCTGTGAAATTGTGTGAATTGTTTTCGGATTCCATCATTGATAATCATTCCTCTCAACTGCATTAGTTGTGTTTGGTTGTTTGTTTGTTTGTTTTTTTTTTTTTTTTTAATCTTGTGAAAATGCGTGTTATTGTCACCACGGAAGGAAGGACAGGGTTTGGGGGGCGGGACGACTCGTAGCAGCCCCCCCCCTTTGTACTGGCAACTAGTGCCGCAAGGCATACTTTTTTTCTTACTCTATCTTCTGTACTCTCATGCTTGCCGTTAATAAGCAACCGGACCGATGAACCATTGAACCCCAGAATAGAAGGGGCCCTGTGTTGTTAAAAAAAAAAAAAAAAAAAAAAAAAAGGTGTGTCGCTGGACGCTGATATCTGGCCAGCCACGCTCCAGATTCCCAACCATTGTGAGAATCACAAGGACCACCACCATTGCCCTCCCAAATCTCCCGGTGCTTCCCCCCAGCCACTGGCTATGGTAACGATGATGCGCTTACGGGGCTTTCTCACAGAACGGTGGACCTTTCTTTCCTCCTTGTTGCTTGTATTGTTGTGAATGTAGATTCGGCGTTACTTAGCGCAGCACCCAGAATGGTCACAAAGTAATGTGACATTGTTGCTTGTATTCGCCGTTACTTAGCGCAGCACCCAGAATGGTCACAAAGTAATGTGACATTGTTGCTTGTACTTTTGTGAGTGTAGATTCGGCGTTACTTAGCGCAGCACCCGGAACAGTCACGAAGTAATGTGACATTGTTGTTTGTATTGTTGTGAATGTAGATTCGGCGTTACTTAGCGCAGCACCCTGAACGGTCACGAAGCAATGCGACACATTCCGGCAGCCAAAGGACTGGTAGGAAGTTGAAATCCTCAGCAACGGAGGGTGGAACAGCGAAAGAAGGCCGGAGCAAGGACAAGCACACACCAAATTCTCGCCACAAATCGGGTGGGTGATGCAGACGTGCCGACATGCTCAACCCTGTAGTTCATCAATTGCAATTCTCTTTCCCTGTCCTTTCACCGTCAGCTCATCCTCGCTCGTCTCTTTCAAAGTTGTATAGGCTACAAGATAACACTGCATATCACGTCTTCTCCGAACCTGGGGTCGTCGTCCTAATAACTCACTGCCCACCGTACCGAGTGGCGCTGCCCTTCCACTACCTCACCGTTATCCCGTAGCACGGTATCGCTCCCTACTGGCCTCGAACCCCTTGTTCTGAGTGCCAGCGAGACCGCAAGTACCGAGCCTCGGGGTTCGCCCGCCGAACCCGAACGGAGTCTGAACGACGGAGAGAGGTGGCAGATAAGAAGGTGGTGAGATGAAAAAGGAGGGCCCTTTTTTTTAATCCAGATGGCACTTTGGTATCCAATGCAGAGGTTGAATGACCAAGAACTACCGTCTTTCACCTGAATAGAATGCCTGGTAAGGTCCTGTGCTCCCCTGGTGGCATTGTCTCTTGGCCCGTTGTCTGTGCTTGGTTGCCTTGGGGTTTTGTGCCGGGTTGGGTAGTATACAGGGGAGGTAGTTAAGAGTGAGGAAAAATACGGGAAACAAATAAAAAAAATTGAGGGAAGAAAATACTATATACAGCTGTTCCCCATATGAGGAGAAAACAGACTGCATTTTTTAATATCTTTTAGGGGGAAAAAAAAAGAGCGCCTGGTCCTTATAGCTGTATACGGGCCAATTTTCGGTCCAGATACAATGATAATGACCGGGCGACTAGGCTACCAGAGTGGCCTGGGACCACTTGCCCGGCCGGGGCAAAAAAATAAAATAAAGTAAAATGTTTATTTTATTTTATTCTTTATTTAAAATTTGGTAAAGAATTTCGATGTGACCCCGAGGCAAAAGTTGTTCAGTTTATTTTTCTGGATAACTTTTTTTTTTTTTTTCAGAATTTTTGGACTCTTTTTTTTTTTTTTTTTTGAAGTTTTTTCTTTTTTTGCTGGGACCTTCTATCATTCTATGGTACTTGCATGGTCGGGCAGCCCGGGCAAACAAGGTGACGCTGAGTTGTGTGCTGTTTTAAACTGCTTTGTGGATTTTTTTCAATTTGATTGTCCTTCAACCTGCTTCATGGATTTTTCAATTTTGATTGTTTTCCCTCGATTGCAGATGTGGAAGCCGCCCAAGACAATCAGCTGCCGTGGAGCAAGGTCCATCCTGAAATCAATCGCTACAATTGGTTTGTTCTTCTGACGCTACTTTCTCATGCTGACCACCTCCCCTGCATGCCTACGTATGGTGGTTGTCGAAAACATCCGCTTCGCAGATGATTTTCTAGTAGCAACCTCTGGTGTCCTGTTGTGTGCATCTGGTTGCATCTCATCACCATGAATGCAATGCATTGAAATGATTGAATGCAGTGCTGGGTTGATTCAAACAGTGATAAGCAGAAGAAGCATGAGGGGTGCTTATGGCAACAGCACACTGAGGATTAGGAAAGCCTAGTACATAGTTTCAGTTGAATTGATACGAAAACACTCCCGAGTCCCAAGCCTTTTTTTTTCACCAAAATATCGGGTCAGCATCACTAGGGGCGGTGATAAGAGCATCCTCCCCAAGTTCGCAATCCGGTTTGCCTCATTCTCTTGGTGGGAAGTTACAAGCCTAATACATAGTTTCAGTTGAATTGATACGAAAACACTCCCGAGTCCCGACAGTGAAATCCCTTTTTTTTTTTTTTCCGTCTTCAGTCACCACTACCTTTCACATGCAAACTCAAAACCTCCAAAGTATGCAGTATATAACCTATGCCACATACTTTGGCGGTCGGGCGCCACCAGACCAAAACGGCTGGCCAAAATGGCTGGCAGCGCCAACCTAAACAAAAAAAAACAAGATATGCTGGCGCTTCTGCAAAGCTTGGCGCGCAGTTCTTTTCCTCCTCGGCAGAAAGAGGTTCGGAGGTAGTGGTGGATTCAGTAGTAAAAAATCATTAGTTGCAATTTACGATGCTTCATATTGTGCTATGCATGCAATGATTGCAATCACTTCATTTCAATTGTTATTACGAAACCGATTGTGTCTTGCCAGACCGGGTACCACAAGTTAGCAATTGGTGGGCAGCATTGGTACCATCTTCCCCTAAACACAATGCAGCCTCATCATCCTCCCTCACCTTGAAAGGCCTGGAAGAGCAGGAAGAGCTGTTGCCACTCCGCTGCACTCGCCATACCCCCCTTCCCAAGGTAGGGCAGGAGCTGGCTATTGCGTGTTCCACCCAGTGCTTGGCTGGTGGTCAGGAGGGCACCACTGATGGGCACAGGGTCACTGGCTCATGGCCACAACACACGCATCCCCCTTTTTCCACCGGTCCCAAATCCCCCAAAATAGCCCACATGGACACTGGCTGGCTGGTGGCCACCAGACACACCTCTCTACCTCCCCCCCCACGGAGCCCCCAAAATTGCCTGAAATAATACCTTCCCACTTCCCTCCCCATTCTCCACGATCCTAGTCTTATTTGCCCGAAATAATACTTTGCCTCCTCCCTTCCCATTCTCCACGCTCCTAGTCTTATTCGCTTACGTTGATAACTTGAGATACGTACTGTGCCATTGGCCAGTGGCCATTGAATCAATACTCCCCATGGTCTAAATAGTAAATAGCCTCCCCAACCTCTTCAAGACCCCATCTTAACGCGCCCCCCCCCCCCCCCCCCCCCCCCCCCCCCCCCCCCCC